AGATATATGCGCGGTATTTACTAACCCCGAATCTGTGTAAATCACACTCTACTACCTCTCTGAATAAATTTTGCTCGATCACATTATGTATATGTGGGTGTGAGTGTGTGTTTTTTGTGTGTGTGTGTGAGAAAGAGAGAGAGAGAGAGAGAGAGAGAGAGAGAGAGAGAGAGAGAGAGAAACTCTACCTCGGTATCTGTAAAATGAAATCATGCCTTCGATTTGATAAAAAAATACTCTAGTCTGCGTAACTCATCCCATTAAACTACCCAGCGATGCGCTATTTGCAATCCTACCACTCACCGTTTTTTTTTTTTTCTCTTTGTCTCTCTTCCTTGAGAGGAGGAGTGGCGCGGTAACCAGAAGACAGTTTGTCTGTGAAGTTATTTATACTTATTTATGTATTCACTTCATGATAACTGTGGTATGTGAGGCTGTACAGGTGATACTTGGCCTGTTGCCACCGAGTTGTCCTAGTTTTACCTATGTTCATGCTGTAACCGATGTCCTGGGAGATTAGCCACACAAGAGAGGAAGTCACTTGATCATGCGTTAGGTAACCCAACACTGACCTGGTCCGTTAGTTAGTTGGGTTATTATCATCATTGCACTCCGCACATGTCCATATGTGCTCAGATCCTTCCCTCAGTATAAACCCCAACGTCCTATGGCTAATAGTACCAGTTGCCCGGCTCTCTAGGGGAATTGGCTAAACCGGATTTCGCGGAGACCGGGTGATGTACTCCTTGTGGTCCGGGTTCAATCCCGGAGGTAGGCAGGAAAGCCACATTTTCTCCCAGATTTACGGTATTTACAATGTAATCAAGGCCGAAAGGTTGCGATATCCATAATACCGAGCCTAAGGGTTAACAACTCATGGCTTCTGGATACTAAAACAAACAACAATAGTACCAGTTCTATGTTAATTAACAAGTCTTCTGGTGTGCGTCTCGTTTTTTCTATGCCGATTTTAATTCCCAAGTCTGCCATTCTGGCGAGTGATGTGGACATACAAAGACAGCAAGTGAAATGGTTTGCCCACTTAGAGAGAATGCCTTGTGACACCATACCATACAAAGCATACACAGAAAGAGAAGAAGGACGTAGAGCACGGGGTAGACCAAGAACATGATGGAAGGATAACATCAGAGAAACTCTACAACAGCACGATGTGCCTATGGTCGAGGCAGCCAGAAGAGCTAGAAACAGAACCTTATATCTCCCTCGACACCCACAGCGGTAAAAGAGGAAGTGAAGAAGAAGAGGATGTGGATTCACTGCTCCCAAAGTCCTCTATCCTTCCCATTTCTCTGAGGGCATTAATAACATCAGCATGATCCGTAGGCTGACCGTCGGTAGCGATAGCTGACCTGGTCAGTAAAACGATGAATCGCCGCAATGTCCTTTGTTTGTTTATTGTGATCGATTTTGTAAAGCTTACATAAACTGTTTTTTCTTACCAACTTTTTCTCTTCCCTATAATTTCCTAACCCTTTAAAAACTGAAACCGTCAAGTCAGATTCGTTATCAATTGATCTCGCCTGTACAGAGCAACTGACCCTACGTTTATGGATGACTATACAACTGACCCTACGTTTATGGATGACTATACAACTGACCCTACGTTTATGGATGACTATACAACTGACCCTACATTTATGGATGACTATGCAACTGACCCTACGTTTATGGATGACTATACAACTGACCCTACGTTTATGGATGACTATACAACTGACCCTACGTTTATGGATGACTATACAACTGACCCTACGTTTATGGATGACTATACAAATGACCCTACGTTTATGGATGACTATACAACTGACCCTACGTTTATGGATGACTATACAACTGACCCTACGTTTATGGATGACTATACAACTGACCCTACGTTTATGGATGACTATACAACTGACCCTACGTTTATGGATGACTATACAACTGACCCTACGTTTATGGATGACTATGCAACTGACCCTACGTTTATGGATGACTATACAACTGACCCTACGTTTATGGATGACTATACAACTGACCCTACGTTTATGGATGACTATACAACTGACCCTACGTTTATGGATGACTATACAAATGACCCTACGTTTATGGATGACTATACAACTGACCCTACGTTTATGGATGACTATATAACTGACCCTACGTTTATGGATGACTATACAACTGACCCTACGTTTATGGATGACTATACAACTGACCCTACGTTTATGGATGACTATAACTTGTATAGAGTGTCCATGTTAAACTGTAGAGTGCCCTGGAGAGAACGCTGATAGAGGCTACACTTTTTAGAAAACGAGACAGGGCTAGACTTCCACGACAGCGGATACAAGACATTGAAGATGCATTGACTATGAAAGCACACAGGGCTGGAGAATTAGCTAGAGAAAGAGAGACTTTCACACCTTCTGTTAAGGGCCTGTTGTGTGGTGGAAGTATCGAGACAGGAATGGACGAGTAAACAGTGAGCCCTGTGTAACGTAAACACACCATAACAGGCAAATGAAATGATGATGATGATGAAACAGTCAGTATACATTTCTAAATTTCTTCTATCCAATTCTTTTGTTTGACTCATGAAGCCTCTGTTGTCACTGTAAATCTGACTATCCAATGGTTTGGTTGTATTGTTAAAACTGTCAAGACTGTCCTGACTCTCAGTGATAAGCAGATCGAAAGAATGCATAACGAGGCTATGCGCATTATACTTGGGTATACAAGAGATACAGCAGGTAAGGCGATGCGCTACCTTTTCAATTTTCCAACCATGGAAGCCAGAATACAAATTTCCCCAGCCCGTGCCTACCTCACAGTCAAGGCAGACACACAACATCCATTACATATTCAAACCAAGAAGAGAAAAGGCAGCAGGTTACAAAGAGGCAAATCGTGAATGGGTCAAGCCGAGGACATTATTATACAGGTCTGTTCACTTGAGGACATAGAACCCGGCGAGGAGTGGGTGCTAGTGCCTTCGGAGTGCTGTACATCTTTTTCTGTTTGCACCCAACTAGACAGAAAATACAGACAACGAGTCTGTGGAAGTAGAAGTTCAAGTTTTGATTTCCGAGAACGCTCTAGAGGGTGATGCCGTCATTTACACAGATGGTTCTGTAATCCGTCACGTTAGACACTCGTTGGCTTTCACTGCTCAATTTGGAGGTAGAGTTGTGAAGGAGGATTCTGGAGCTTTTTTCGCAGACTTTCACTGGATCATGCTTTCTCAGTGACTCGATGAATATGCTCAGGAAGATAGAGAAGGGCTGAGTTCGAAGGCAATGGTTGGTGGCTCTACAGAATTCACGGCTGACAAGGATTAGTTTCATTTTTGTGCCAGGATATGTGGGGGTACAAGGAAATAAGCAAACTGATAGGCTTGCAGGTAAGGCTACTGTGAAAGCCGAACAAGCCATTGACCAGGCTGATATACTGAATGCTCTAAGAGAGTAAAGACGTTTGTGTGAACCAACTGAGAACTGTGAATCTGCAACCATGGTCAGACTGCAAGAATAGCATGTTAAACGGGGTTTCGCAAAACAAGAACACACACGGGTAGCCAAAGAATAATAATAAACCAACACAGAACTGGTGTTGTTAGCCGCTACATGCTGCAGGGTTTACTGAGAAGGGGATCCGAGCTCTTTTGGACTGAGTGGTTTGATCGATGTGCAGTGAGGATAATCTGTCGACTAACTAACTAAGACTGAAACCGTGTCATTGTAAACTACACACATTTTAAGTAGAACATCTTGAAGTTGAATGGTGTTATGACTTTGTGTTCATTCTGCTCACTACTAGGGATTTAATCCAGAGGTCTAGCTTTGACTCACATGTTGATGGATGGTGTCCTTATCATAGAGTCTATGCCATGTGGCATTCCCCATCTCATCCATCCGCTTGCTTCTGTCACATCTTCTACCAATAATTTTGAATACAGATGTTCCACCAAGCCAATATGCCAAAGAAACATTCTCTCTTGATCTCCTCCTGCCTCTTTCTGTTATCATGTTGTATTTCATGCCTTCCCCACCCCTTTTCATGAAGTGTCTGAAGTAAGGGAATTGCTTTCTTGTGATGTGATTTCATTTCATACCATATATCTTCATAAGTTTTTTGTGTTTTTTTCAGTCAGTAGTGTTCTCATGATTCTTATATAAAGCCACATCTCTGCAGTTTCCACAGGATGTGTCACACATATGATGCCTTTACATCATGAAGCAGGTCTTAATGAGGTGACTCCAATTCAACATTAGGCAAGTCTGACACTCATAAAGCATTGAGCAGGTCTGAATAAGATCTGCTGACTGACTCCCATACAACATTAAGCAGGTCTGAATGAGATCTGCTGATTGACTCCCATACAACATTAAGTAGGTCTGAATGAGATCTGCTGATTGACTCCCATACAACATTAAGCAGGTCTGAATGAGATCTGCTGATTGACTCCCATACAACATTAAGCAGGTCTGAATGATATCTGCTGATTGACTCCCATACAACATTAAGCAGGTCTGAATGAGATCTGCTGATTGACTCCCATACAACATTAAGCATGTCTGAATGAGATCTGCTGATTGACTCCCATACAACATTAAGCAGGTCTGAATGAGATCTGCTGATTGACTCCCATACAACATTAAGCAGTTCTGAATGAGATCTGCTGATTGACTCCCATACAACATTAAGCAGGTCTGAATGAGATCTGCTGATTGACTCCCATACAACATTAAGCAGGTCTGAATGAAATCTGCTGATTGACTCCATACAACATTAGGAAGGCCTGAATGATATCGCCTGATTGGCTGCCATACAACATTAAGGAGGTCTGAATGAGCCAGAGGAAGAAATCACAACCTTTAAACCACCAACCCCATATTTTTGTGAGGATTTATGAAAATATGCTTTACATCATCATTTTTTTATGTGTGTGGATTATTTTGATTGCTTATTTACCATTATTTCACTTCTTTCTCATGAAGACATGGTACAAGGTGTGCTGGAGAAGTGGCCGCTCAAGCTGACAATCATGTCTGCAGTGTAGGAGTGGCTTTCAATGCTAGGATTGGAGGTAAATTATCTTATACCATTTACACAGCCTGAAAGATTTTTTTTATGTGAATAAAGTTAACAGCTCTAACCGCATCAGTTTTCAGCAAGAGTGAACATATTTCTTCTGTCAGTATTTCTACAGGAGCTGTGTTGTGGTTTTTAACTTCCCAGAAACCTTGTTCGATTTGACTGTCTAACACAGTTATATTGGGGCACCCTGCAGTTTCAAAGTAACCCGCAGTCCTTCTTCTTCTTCTTTTGTCAAAATCTGCTTGTGTTGCTAGGCGTCGCAGTCTATCAGATGATCGGCAACCGAGCCAGGGCGCGCTCAGTCGCTTCATATGCCGTGATGTTATGAAGTCTCAAGTTGTCCGTGACTCATTCAATCCATCTTCTTCTTGGTCTTCCCCTGCCTCTTGGTGTTTCGATTTTCATGTTGTATGCTCTTGATGCTGGCATCGTTGGTTCCATTCTCACTCGATCTCTTCTGGTTTTATTCGCAGCCATTCTCAAACATCTCATTTCACAGGTGGTTAGTCTTCTCTCGTGTTCTTTTGTTAATGTCCAAGTCTGACATTGATAACCTAATGTCGGTATAAAGATTGTATTTATAATTTGTCTTTTTATCTCAGCTGGGACAGCAGGGTGTTTTAAAATTGGGGCAAGCTGGTATGCGACATTGTTGGCTTGTTGGATTCTTGCTTCGATCTCTCTGTCTATTTTACCATTGAATGTAAAGATACTTCCCAAGTATTTAAATTCTTGCACTTACCCGCAGTCCAATAGTTGAAAAACTGGTAAAAAGTGGTTGTTGCACATTTATTACTCCTTCAATGATCCATGTTCATTCCCCAGCACTGACAGGATTCCTTGCTGCAACTGTTGAGACTCCCAGGTGACCAAGCATTATAAAATAGGTACTGGATAGTTTTGAGCCAATTATTCCAGAATTAAAAGTTAGTAAGAGAGGTATACAGTTATCCCTTCTTATTGTGCCTTGGGCTAGAGCAGTTTTCCCATTAAGTTTTGTTTTTGGTGAAATCCGAGGAACCAGTTTAAAAGGTCTGTGATGTCGTTCATAAAAAAAAAAAACCCACTTAACTTTAGAATATCAGTCCTGTTTTTAATTCTGGAATTTATAAATTAGAATAAGTTCTCCAGTATAACCATTAGAAAGTGTGGTGTCCCTGAAAGATCTCTTTAAGTAAGAGGGATTATCTTGTCTTAGCTAATAGTGAACATAACAACTGACCTAGAAAAGTAACAGCTGACCAGTTGACAGAACTGTAGCTGTATTTCCCATGGGGCTTCTTTAGGTGCCAGATCTGGAGAAGACACTGGTGATTATGGCATTTCAGGCCATTGTGCCATTTGATGTTACTGAAGCTTATGTTGCTTATATTATTGTTGCCTAGCTGTTAAAGCTTTCCACTGTCATCTTTCCATCTTCTGTTTCTCTTGCCTTGTATTACCCATTTTACCTCTTCTATTCATTCGTGTTTTCTTCATACAATTACTATGTGTATGCGTGTGTGTGTGCATGCATGTTTGCATGCATGCGCTCCTGCTTCTGATATCATCTGCCTACCTTTTCTTAATGGACTCTGCCAGAATACAATTGATTCAGTGTTCCCTCTCTCATGAATGACTACAAAATCTAGTGGTTCCCTTCTGGTGAATGTGATACATTTCCCCATACCCCACCTTTGTTTGGAGACCACCCAGAGTGTCTCCTTGTTGCCTGTCATTGCTAACAGAGACAGCAGATTGATCACACCCTCCCTAATAACAGTGCTCATGTGACTCAAAGCTTGCATTGTCAGATATAAGAGAACATCAGAGTAAAGAGCTCCAGCTCTTACAAAGAATGTAGTAAATCCATTCTCAGCATTGGGGACAGACAGATGTTCTTGGCAAGAAGCACAAAGGATATGTGAGATCTCTTTTCTACGGTCTAGACATACAATTCTAGGTAACAGTGTTGTTGTATCTTCATTCTTTATGTGAGTGAGAAGATGGTTCAGTTAAAAAAAAAAGCAACAACAAAATCATTTTGTGACCTAGAGAAAGTTTTAATTCTGCACAATGTGGTTGTCCCAAACTAATAGATCATTCATGAGACCAGCGATGTCTGTCTCCCAACAACACTGAGAGCGCTGCATGGAGCACAAGAAAGCTTCAGTCTATCCTTTTTTGGGTACTTTGTCTGTCATCTCTCTTGTTACAGTTGTTACTCTAACTCATTATTTTGAAATACTTGTTATTTTAACGAATAATCTGAGATCTGATCTAAGAAGTTCATTTGAAAACACTTTGGGACACAGTGTGGAGTTAAAGTAACAGGCTGTGTAGAGTTGTCTAATGTAGCCAGTGGATGGGTCAGAGTGTGTTAATAAAAGTCTGTCATGCCGGTTGAAAACAGCAAAATGATTGTAAGTTGCCTGATGCTGAATGAGTGCAGAATACTGTGGAAATCCAAAATGTAGTCATCTAAATTTATTGTCAGAAGTTAAATTGTAAAGACACTTATAGTAATCATTAAACAGGCCCTGACTACACACTCTCAGACAGCTGTACATCCACTTTTGGGTGTTATCCTCCCACTTGTATCATTGTCTACCTCTTGTTAGCTTGCCTTCAATTTTCCCTTGAGAATGGCCTTTTCAGATGAATATGTCTAAGGGGCCCTATCATAAGAAGAGAGGTAGTAAAAATTTCATTGCAAAGAATAAACTTGATAGTAAAGAAATTAGATAATGGCAGTGAGAAAAATCTCTTGACAGCCTACCCTCATTAAATATAGCATCATATGAATGAATATATTATGTTGAAACGGGAGCTATAGAGAAGTGATCAACTGTGCAAATGAGAGAGAGAGAGAGAGAGACTGATCAACCACACATGTATAGAATTTAGCGAAAATGGTGTGGTGCAGGTCAATCCCAATTCGAGGTAGAATTGTATTTATTTCAACCAGTACGACTGTACAGAACCTACAAAGATCTATCTGATATTTGCATTTTCAAGTACATTTTTGACAGTAATTTCTAAGTGAAACATTAAAATATAATACTGCAATGGAGCAAGCTAGCAGTAGCAGATAATCTACCCATGTCTGACTTTAAAAACTTCTCTCCCTTCAGGAGTACGGATGCTTGATGGCGATGTCACAGACTCTGTGGAGGCGCAGTCATTGGGTTTGAACCCACAACATATACATGTGTACAGTGCTAGCTGGGGACCAGATGATGATGGCAGGACTGTGGATGGACCCGCGACCCTGGCCAGGAAGGCATTCTATGATGGCATCACTAAGGTTGAAACTCATTATAGGTTAACCTTTAATATGAACAAAGAAGACACAAACAATAGTCTGCACAATTTATTGCCTGGCATATTTTGCTGTATCTCGTCAGGTGCATACTACAGTAACAATTGTTACTGACGAGATACAGCGAAATATGCCAGGCAATAAATTGTGCAGTCTATTGTTTGTGTCTTCTTTGTTCAAATTCACATCGGGGAAACATTGCTTTGATAACCTTTAATAGCCAAAATGCAGGTAGAAGCATTTATTTAGTCATTTATTGATGCTAAATATTTGGGTCCTCATCAATTTTATCCAGTGACAACCTAAGGCAACTGTTTAACTAAAATTGATTGTTACTGATGGTAGTAAGTAGATTGAAAGTTATGACAGTAAGTATATTATAATTTACAATGATTTTCTGTTAGTGATCTCTGTGGTGAAGATGTCAAAACATTCGCCTCATGCTGTGAAGATTGTGAGTTCATTCCATGAGCACATCATTCGGTTCAAAAGTGCAGTTTTTTTGGAGATCCCTGGAGATCATTGCTGGGGCTGTATAAATCATGCTGTGTGCGACACTCATGGCAGATGGCTTGCTGATTTGCGGTGAGAGGCCGAGCCATATACGATAAAACCCAGTTCAATGAAATTGATCATCCTAAATCCAAATTTGACTTTAAAATTTACTGTAGTGAAAAAACCCAACCCCACAGCCATGCCATGAGAAGTAGTAATAGGACGAAGTAGGGGATTGCTAGGATTGGAGGAAGTATCTTGTGGCCTTATACTACAATACTGAGAAATAGGACGAAGTAGGGAATTGCTAGGATTGGAGGAAGTATCTTGTGGCCTTATACTACAATACTGAGAAATAGGACGAAGTAGGGGATTGCTAGGATTGGAGGAAGTATCTTGTGGCCTTATACTACAATACTGAGAAATAGGACGAAGTAGGGGATTGCTAGGATTGGAGGAAGTATCTTGTGGCCTTATACTACAATACTGAGAAATAGGACGAAGTAGGGGATTGCTAGGATTGGAGGAAGTATCTTGTGGGCCTTATACTACAATACTGAGAAATAGGACGAAGTAGGGGATTGCTAGGATTGGAGGAATATCTTGTGGCCTTATACTACAATACTGAGAAATAGGACGAAGTAGGGGATTGCTAGGATTGGAGGAAGTATCTTGTGGCCTTAGACTACAATACTGAGAAATAGGACGAAGTAGGGGATTGCTAGGATTGGAGGAAGTATCTTGTGGCCTTATACTACAATACTGAGAAATAGGAGGAAGTAGGGGATTGCTAGGATTGGAGGAAGTATCTTGTGGCCCTTATACTCCAATACTGAGAAATAGGAGGAAGTAGGGATTGCTAAGGATTGGAGGAAGTATCTTGGTGGCCTTATACTACAATACTGAGAAATAGGAGGAAGTAGGGGATTGCTAGGATTGGAGGAAGTATCTTGTGGCCTTATACTACAATACTGAGAAATAGGAGGAAGTAGGGGATTGCTAGGATTGGAGGAAGTATCTTGTGGCCTTAGACTACAATACTGAGAAATAGGAGGAAGTAGGGGATTGCTAGGATTGGAGGAAGTATCTTGTGGCCTTAGACTACAATACTGAGAAATAGGACGAAGTAGGGGATTGCTAGGATTGGAGGAAGTATCTTGTGGCCTTAGACTACAATACTGAGAAATAGGACG